TTTACATGTAACAATTAGTATTTTTTTGCTAGAAAATTTCTTAGAACCCTCAAACATTGTATTTTTTTTTTTTTAAAGCAGAGGCCCTAGAAAATAAATTGATGGGTGTTGCAATTTTTCAATAAAAAAACAAAAAACAAAACACTTTCTCTACTGTTTTCAGAAAAAGCAATGAGGCCTTTAACCACTGCAAGTCCTGACACTTTCAACCCCTTCCTGTCCAGGCCAATTTTTAGCTTTCAGCGCTATCACACTTTGAATGACAATTGTGCGGCCATGCAACACTGTACCCAATACATTTCTTTCACATTTTTTTGAGACAACTAAAACTTTATTTTGGTGGTATTTATTCACCACTGGGATTTTTATTTTTTTACTATATAAATGAAAAATTCCAAACATTTTGAAATAAAAAAAGTGTTTTTCTTATAAAATTTTGCAAATAACACTGTTCAACATATTTTTTATTTTCTGCCAGTTTTGGAAACAAAAGGATCCATTTCTTAATGAATTTCACATTCTGAGTTCAAATATAACAATGAAATTTGTCAATTGGCTCTAGTTTTTCTGTAAACGGAACGTTTTCTACTATAGGCGTAATGACTACATAATGCACAATAATTATATAGATAGATGTCTTTCCACAAATATAAAGCAAGTGATATTGACTACATAACAAAGCCTAAATGGCATAATATATTGCATAGGATTACCAAGAAAAATTATAGCCATAAGCCAAGTTGAATCATTTTAATACTTAGGATTCTCACTAGTTTTGTCTTCAGTTTGTGTCGGTTTTGCTTCTCTTGGCTTTTCTCTTGTATTCGAGGAAAGGGCTATCTCTTACAACTGCACGTGACTACACGCTTCAGATTCTTCCTCACTTGACTCAACCACGAAGGATTCTGGTGCTTTAGGAATTGGTAGCCCCTCTCCATGAGGAACTGGACGTATTGCCGATGGAATATTTGGATAGTGCACAGATAACTTTTTCTTCTTATTTAGCCCTTTTACAATTGGAGGCACCATACAAAAGTAACAATTACTAACATGATCTGTTGGCTCTCTCCAAATCATTGGCACAGCGAAAGGCATAGATGCCTTTTTTTTTTTTCCATTTCAACCATTGCTCCAGTGCCGTCCCACAAGAATTGCAGCATATATGTGGTGCCCAGCTCTTGTCCTGGTCTCCTATCTTGCAGCCAAAATACAAGTTGTAGGCTTTCTTAATCATTCCTGTTATCCTCCTTTTTTGCGAGATAAAAATTATTTCACCGCAGATATAGCAGAAATTATCTGCTTTATTCACACAAGTTCGAGGCATTACTGAGTAGCCTATATAAGCATAAAACGAAATGTAAAGACGCTGTCGAACTACAATCAGCTACAGATACTGCAGCTTTTATGCAGTGAAGTGATGCAATTAAAGGCTAATATTGCATCATCTCAGTATACATGCAATTTTCTATTGGTCACCAGTATCAATTGCGCAATATGCAGCTGAAGTTGCATCATAATTTTGAATGGCTTACGTCATTAGATGGGTGACTATATATCATGGAAACTAGAGCCAATCAACATTTTTTAGGGACATTTTCGTTTTCAGCACCCCAAAATTATGTAAGATTAGCTAATTTTATGCCCAAAACTTTTTACCTGTTGAACAGTGTAATCAATCTTTCTTCATAAATCTTGGCCAGAATGTATTCAGCCATCTTTTTAATAAAAAAACTAAAAAAATAACCCAAATTAGCTTATAACCAAAAATTATAATTTTTAAAAAAAATTTACATTTTTATATTTGTTTTTTTTTTTTTTTTGTTTTTTTTTAAACATACTGTCACTCTAGCAGTACAGACACTATACTACTTGTGTGTGTGATGATTTTTTTTTTTTTTTTTATTACACCGATTGCTTTTACACACATAAAGGCTGTAAAAGCAATCATTTCTCCTTCTCTCTGGCTGCATTCTTGCAGCCAATCAGAATTACTGTGTGAGCTGTGATTGGTCACAGCTTGTCACATGGTACAATGCTGTTGTTAATAGCCTTGTACCATGTGACCTCTGTGATCACAGATTTCACTAGTAGTAAGCAATGATGTCAGAAGTGACATCTTGCTTCTTTACTATTCATGCGCTCACTGATTGGTCAATCAGTGATCACATGATCGGGACCTCACACAGAGGTCTCATACAGCGATCGGTGTTCCGCTGTGTGCAGAGGCAGGGAAGCAGGGAAGACGTTTATAAATGGCCACCCGCTCCTGCAATGCTCCCGTCTGGACGTTTACAGCTGAAACTCGAAAAATTTGAATATCGTGCAAAAGTTCATTTATTTCAGTAATGCAACTTAAAAGGTAAAACTAATATATGAGATAGACTCATTACATGCAAAGCAAGATAGTTCAAGCCGTGATTTGTCATAATTGTGATGATTATGGCTTACAGCTCATGAAAACCCCAAATCCACAATCTCAGAAAATTAGAATATTGTGAAAAGGTGCAATATTCTCGGCTCAAAGTGTCCCAATCTAATCAGCTAATTAAGCCAAAACACCTGCAAAGGGTTCCTGAGACTTTAAATGGTCTCTCAGTCTGGTTCAGTAGGAATCACAATCATGGGAAAGACTGCTGACCTGACAGTTGTGCAGAAAACCATCATTGACACCCTCCATAAGGAGGGAAAGCCTCAAAAGGTAATTGCAAAAGAAGTTGGATGTTCCCAAAGTGCTGCATCAAAGCACATTGATAGAAAGTTATGTGGAAGGGAAAAGTGTGGAAGAAAAAAGGCGCACAAGCAGCAGGGATAACCGCAGCCTGGAGAGGATTGTCAGGAAAAGGCCATTCAAAAGTGTTGGGGACTTTCACAAGGAGTAGACTGAGGCTGGAGTCAGTGCATCAAGAGGCACCACACACAGACGGATCCTGGACATGGGCTTCAAATGTCGTATTCCTCTTGTCAAGCCGCTCTTGAACAACAAACATCAGAAGCGTCTTACCTGGGCTAAAGAAAAACAGACCTGGTCTGTTGCTCAGTGGTCCAAAGTCCTCTTTTCTGATGAGAGCAACTTTTGCATCTCATTTGGAAAGCAAGGACCCAGAGTATGGAGGAAGAATGGAGAGGCACACACTGAAAGATGCTTGAAGTTCAGTGTGAAGTTTCCACAGTCTGTGTTGATTTGGGGAGCCATATCATCTGCTGGTGTTGGTCCACTGTGCTTCATTAAGTCCAGGGTCAATGCAGCCGTCTACCAGGAGATTTTGGAGCACTTCATGCTTCCTTCCGCAGACGAGATTTATGGGGATGCTGACTTCATTTTCCAGCAGGACTTGGCACCTGCCCACACTGCCAAAAGCACAAAAACCTGGTTCAGCGACCGTGGGATTACTGTGCTTGATTGGCCAGCAAACGCTCCTGACCTGAACCCCATAGAGAATCTATGGGGCATTGTCAAGAGAAAGATGAGAGACACGAGACCGAACAATGCAGAAGACCTGAAGGCCGCTATTGAAGCATCCTGGTCTTCCATAACACCTCAGCAGTGCCACAGGCTGATAGCTTCCATGCCATGCCGCATTGAGGCAGTAATTGCTGCAAAAGGGGCCCAAACCAAGTACTGAGTACATATGCACGCTTATACGTTTCAGAGGTCCGATATTGTTCTATATACAATCCTTGTTTTATTCAATGCATGTAATATTCTAATTTTCTGAGATTGTGGATTTGGGGTTTTCATGAGCTGTAAGCCATAATCATCACAATTATGACAAATCACGGTTTGAACTATCTTGCTTTGCATGTAATGAGTCTCTCATATACGTATTAGTTTCACCTTTTAAGTTGCATTACTGAAATAAATGAACTTTTGCACAATATTCAAATTTTTCGAGTTTCACCTGTATATACATGGGCCGGACGGGAAGTGGTTAAAGAAAAGAATACAGTCAAACATGGTGGAGGGTTCACTGATGTTTTGGGGTTGCTTTGCTGCTTCAGGCACTGGATGTCTTGACCGTGTACATAGCATTATGAAATCTGAAGACTACCAAAAGAATTTTGGGGTGCAATGTAGGACCCAGTGTCAAAATGTTGGGTCTTTGTCTGGGTCATTGTCCTCCTGTAAGACCCATGACCTCTAAAGCACACATCAAAAAGCACCCAGAAATGGTTTCAGACAAAAGAGCTGGAGAGTACTGAACTGGCCAGCAATGAGTCCAGATCTCAATCCCATAGTGCACTTGTAGAGAGATCTCAAAACAGCATTTGGCAAAAAGGAACCCTTCCAATCTGAGAGGCCTGGAGCAGTTGGCGAAAAAAAAGAGTGATCCAAAATTCCAGTCGAGCGGTGTAAGAAACTCATGGTTACATGGCTGATAGTTACAGGAAACGATTGATTTAAATTATTTTTTTCAAGGGGTGTCCTACCAAATATTAAATTCAGGGTGCCAATAATTTTGTCCAGTCCATTTTTGGGATTTTACGTGGAATGTGTCAGATTTGGCTTTTTGTTTCTCCACTTTTTGTGTCACACCAATACAAACAAAAGAAACCAACAGGATAATGCCTAAACATTTGTAATGGCAATAATTTTCTGGGCGAAGTGGTGCATTATCTGTCAGAAATGCAGGGGTGCCAATATCTTTGGCCATGACTGTATATGCTTGACACAATGTCTCTGTGTACCAAGCCGCCCAACGAAGGCTCAGTACTCTGCAATTAGTGAAGCAGCCTCACCAAGCTCTTTATCCAGTGGCATTTATAAACCCCACTGGATAAATAACAGGTCACAATTTAAAAATGTACTCTGACAGAAAAAGGGGTGAAAGGTTTTTAAATCTACTGCTAATAAAATGGAGGTATAGCAAGGTATTTAATGGCAATACGGTGTTTTGATCCTTCTAAACTGTAGTAACAATGGCTGTACTGATTGACATAGGTATTTTGAGCTAACATGCATGTTGCTGTTGGTCATTACCATATTCCAAAGTTACACTTTTTCAATAATAAGTGTCATCTCTCACCTCCACATCTCTTTTTAGCTTTTCAAGGAATATCTTCTTGTTCTCTTCGCCTACATGCAATTTTTGTCCTTCGTTTAAGAAATCATTATCTTTAAATGTGGGCAGATCCTTGGCCTGTGGATTAAGCAAAGGTCAGAAAAATTTCAGCATAATTGCGTAAAATATAAGTTGTGTATGTGTTATATACAAGTGCCATTCTGGAGATCAATTAACTAGTAATTAGTTATTGATTTAAAAAAAAAAAAAAAAAAAAAGTGTAATAAATACAAAGAAACAGTCAAATTTTTGTACTCCCCATAAATTCTTCTTAGAGATTACTGAGGGGCCCAGCCATTGACTCAGAGATCAATCAAAATCAGTGGCTTATAGTTCTATCTGCATGAGTAAGACACTAGTCACAAGGTAACAGCAGCCAATTGGATGGCTGCATTTAGTGGTCTAACCCCGCAACTGCCAGCGTTTCAGTTAGTAGCAAGAACCCAAACAATGCCCAATAGCAACAAGAGGGGGACATTTGTGTACTCAAACTCAAAAAAGAGTTTTACAAACAAGTACAAAAATTGTATTTTCTCTAACACTCATCAAGGGATAGAGATCGATATATAATTCAAAGCCAATGGGACATCCACACACAGTAACCAAAATAAGTGATATAAAATCACTTTTTTGGTGCAGCATGATTTAAAAAAAAGAAAAATAGGTCAGGGTCTGCTTTCCCTTTGTTTCTGCAAGTAGGGCAGCCCATTGAAATGAAATAAACTGCCCTACATGCATTTCACCCATGATCAGTGAGTCAGAGGTGCAATGTCAGGCTTCTGCAGGCAAGCACTGCAGCTTTCAACCCATACCTCCATATGGGCTGTCATTTTGAAAGCTACAGGGCTTGTAAATGAACTACAAGGGCACTCATCAGCCCTCTCACAGCTCATTCAGAACTACAAGCTGTCTGCCACGGTGGCTAATGCTACTTGTACTTGTAGTTAATTAACTCAAGAGGAAACTGTGAATAAATTATGTAGCCATGTGGGGGAAGCCCCATATGGCCATGCGGTTTTTGAATTGTTACAGCGGGCGCTGGAAGAAGGTCCCCCACCTCACTTTCATGGGGGGGAAATCAGGGGGGGAGGTGGCAGGAACTGAAACATGTTAAATGATCCACCGTAACTGTGGGCGGAACATGTAACATGTTCCAAAAGGTGAACTTATCCTTTAAAGACTTGAAGATAAAATTTCTATTTTTAAGTGGTCCCCCTCACACATAAGATACTTAGGCACCAACATATCCTCTGACCTCAACAGACTCTGAACTTACACAATTTTAAGACCCTTAGGCAACACATCAAAAGTGATCTTACCAACTGGCAACAGGGCAAAGTAACGTAATTCAGGAGTTATACTATCCTTAAAATGAATGACCTACCCAGGTTGACATTACCCTTTCAAACACTGCCAATATCCTTACCACCAAACCTTCTCAGAGACCTGTGTACAACTTCCTTACATTTTTTTGTGGGCTAAAAGTAGAGCAAGAATCAAATTCCACATCCTCTATCTAAACTTAGTGACGGTATTTTTCCAGACCCACTCAGATACTATTACGTTTTGCACCTGGCAAAAATCCTAGATTGATGCTCCTCATGTTCTAAAAAACTATGGGTATACATTGAACAGGAATTCACACCTGTTTTCCTACAATGACGTCAGTGAAACCCTGACCAGCTTCCACCAGAACTCAAATCTCATCCTTTGATTGCGCCTACTTGAGCAGTGGTTCTTAAGATCTTCCAAACAACTAAAGATCTTTTTGATTCCAGTCCCACTCACACCAATCCTGGGCTTCCCCATTTTAATCCCGGGACACTCAGATGCCAATTTTGTTTTTATTTAACCCACTCGTGTGTTACTAACTCTTCACTTCACTAGGGGAGAGGATTTCCACTCATATCAATGACTTAAAATTCAATTTGGCTTTTCCTTGAAAGATTGGTGTGTGCACTCCATCTATGTAATTTTCTCTGCTCCATACCTCTGGGTGACAGGGTATTTCAAGACACCACTGCATTTGAAAAGTAAGGTCTAGAATCTTTCACCCCCAAAGACGCACCCTTTCAACCTTACAAGATGTAGCCCCTAGCTCTCCCCAACTGTTCTTTATACAGGAAAAGAATAAGCTGATTATACCGACACACAAAATCCGACTGATTGCATCGTTCTAGTGCACAAAGCACCAGCATTTCCTTCAAAATTTTCACTGTGTGGAACTGTACTCAGTTTGGGTCTCTGAGAGTTTCTTAGGAAAAAAAAAAAAATGAAATAAAAAACATTCGTGTGGCTTGTGTCTAAAGTTAAAAAGCCATGAAAAAACAAATGAAGGAACACTATCATTTGAAATTTACAAAGAATGTAACAAAATATGCAAGAAAGAAATCAAGGCTGCAAAAATTCAAAATGAACAATAGGTTGTAAAAGAATAAGACAAACCCCCCAAAATTCTTTAAAGGTTATAAGTGGTCACAGCATACAGTTAATTTTGACAATCCAATATAAGATTACTTGAAATGTCTCCTTTTATGTTCTGGGTACTGTCTGCCAATCCCTTTCCACAAATTCCTGGGTTCCCTGCATGGTTTGCCATTTCACCTCTGCAGTTTTCTTTTAATTTCTAAATATCCCATGACACCTTGCTGCTAGCAAGCAGTAATTCCTATACTCATTCTGCTTCCTGAAACGCTTCCTTTCAGCAGCTCAGTAGTACAGAAGGCAGACTCTGAATTCTGTGACACAGCAGTGTATACGCACAGGACATAGTGATTATGTGTCTCAGAATTCAAGGAGATAAAAACACATAGGGATCGTTGCAAAATAAGCATGCAAATTTCATGATAAATTCATTAATAGGAGTAGACTAGAAATAACTGAAATACAGTGAAAAAATGAATGTACAGTGGGGATCGAAAGTTTGGGCACCCCAGCTAAAAATTTGTATTAATGTGCATAAAGAAGCCAAGGAAAGATGGAAAAATCTCCAAAAGGCATCAAATTACAGATTAGACATTCTTATAATATGTCAACAAAAGTTAGATTTTATTTCCATCATTTACACTTTCAACATAACAGAAAACAAAAAAATGGCGTCTGCAAAAGTTTGGGCACCCTGCAGAATTTATAGCATGCACTGCCCCCCTTGCCAAACTGAGACCTGCCAGTGTCATGGATTGTTCTCAATCATCGTCTGGGAAGACCAGGTGATGTCAATCTCAAAGGTTTTAAATGCCCAGACTCATCTGACCTTGCCCCAACAATCAGCACCATGGGTTCTTCCAAGCAGTTGTCTAGAAAACTGAAACTGAAAATAGTTGACGCTCACAAAGCTGGAGAAGGCTATAAGAAGATAGCAAAGCGTTTTCAGATGTCAATATCCTCTGTTCGGAATGTAATTAAGAAATGGCAGTCTTCAGGAACAGTGGAAGTTAAAGCAAGATCTGGAAGACCAAGAAAAATATCAGACAGAACAGCTCGCAGGATTGTGAGAAAAACAATTCAAAACCCACGTTTGACTGCACGATCCCTCCAGAAAGATCTGGCAGACACTGGAGTTGTGGTACACTATTCCACTATAAAGAGATACTTGTACAAATATGGTCTTCATGGAAGAGTCATCAGAAGAAAACCTCTTCTACGTCCTCACCACAAAAATCATCGTGTGAACTTTGCAAATGAACATATAGACAAGCCTGATGCATTTTGGAAACAAGTTCTGTGGACCGATGAGGTTAAAATTGAACTTTTTGGCCGGAATGAGCAAAGGTACGTTTGGAGAAGAAGGGGCACAGAATTTAATGAAAAGAACCTCTGTCCAACTGTTAAGCATGGGGTTGGATCAATCATGCTTTGGGGTTGTGTTGCAGCCAGTGGCACAGGGAACATCTCACGAGTAGAAGGAAAAATGGTTTCAATAAAATTTCAGCAAATTTTGGATGGTAACTTGATGCCATCTGTGAAAAAGCTGAAGTTAAAGAGAGGATGGCTTCTACAAATGGATAATGATCCTAAACACACCTCGAAATCCACGGGGGATTACATCAAGAAGCGTAAACTGAAGGTTTTGCCATGGCCTTCACAATCTCCTGACCTCAACATAATTGAAAATCTATGGATAGACCTTAAAAGAGCAGTGCGTGACAGACAGCCCAGAAATCTCAAAGAACTGGAAGACTTTTGTAAGGAAGAATGGGCAAAGATACCTCAAACAAGAATTGAAAGACTCTTGGCTGGCTACAAAAAGCATTTACAAGCTGTGATACTTGCCAAAAGGGGGCAGTACAAGATATTAACTCTGCAGGGCGCCCAAACTTTTGCAGATGCCATTTTTGTGTTTTCTGTTATTTTGAAAATGTAAATGATGGTAATAAAATCTAACTTTTGTTGACATATTATAAGAATGTCGAATCTGTAATTTGATGCCTTTTGGAGATTTTTCTATCTTTCCTTGGCTTCTTTATGCACATTAATACAAATTTTTAGCTGGGGTGCCCAAACTTTCGATCCCCACTGTATGACTACATTTTAACCAGGGGTACACTTTAAGTAAAATGGTCTGATGCAAGATGTAGGCTCTAAACAAGATAACTCAAATTAGTTGGTGACTAGGGACAAAGAGGAGGCAAATGTATCAAATAACTTTTTCAGCTCTGTGTATATAAAGGAAAATGGGGGAGCTCAAATCTACAATGGCGATAGTGTTGAGATAGCCCCAAAAGAACCAACGGCCTGAAATGCATATGGTCCTGAAACATCTGGAAAAGATAAAAGGCGACTAAAGCATCAGGACCAGATGGCTTACACACACGAGCTGAGGTCTTTTTTGAAACCATGATTTCTAATTTTTAGACAATTTTGATGACTGAATACTCTGGCGCAAGGCTAATGTGGTCCCTATATTTATCTTGAAGAAAGGGATCAAATTCTTCATTAGTAACTACAGTTGCGTTAGTTTAGCATCTCATCTGGAAGATACAAGATAGTCACAAAAGTTATCAAACAAATTTGCTTTGTTATAATGAGAAAGTAAGCCAAAACTTAGACAAAGGCATGGCTGTGAATATAACATACTTAGACTTTGCAAAAGCTTTTGACAGTTTCCCAGACATGGCTAACATGAAATTTAAAGTCTATATGCTTTGAAAATCCAGTGTGTAAATGGATAAGAAACTAGGTAAAAGACTGCATTCAGAGAGTAGGGATTACTACAGAGCTGAGCGCTGTGCAAGAGTAAAAGAGAGCCAATGGTTCATGTTTAGGTCGTGAACTAAGCCAGGATAGCTCTTTCGTGAGCTTTCGAGAGGAGGGGACAGTTATATCACCAGCTGAAACATCCGACTACCTTGGTGGATTGGAAAGATTATTTGTCCCTACCGAAGTAAACTAAGACCATGCTTTATAGGGGTTTTTTTTTGTGCCTTCCTCTGGATCAACAATAGCTAAAGGTTTCTGTACATGGGGTTTTATTTCTTCAATCATTTTTTTCTATTTATAAACTGTATATTCACTGCGCAAATGAGATCTGAAAATGTATATTAAAAAAAAAAAAAAAAAGTAAAAATATCGAACGCCAGAAAAAATGCATAATAAATCACTCACCTAAGTCAATAAATGAATGCATAGAATGTGTAAGCATGCAGCTACCCTAATAGTGAATAATGCAATAATCACTTCATGAAACAATGATGATTAAAAGCATCAAAAAAATAAATTTATATACATAAATACACTAGCAGAGTGAAAATATAACACAAAATATAACACTGTAAATATACACAAATATTTACATCATTTGACATAAGTCCATCAACTGAAAAATAAAAAATTGTGATGAAGTGCAAAGTCCTTATTGATCCACTGAAATCACCACCACACAACGTATTCTGTAATGAGGCATCCACCTTACATTCCCCGCTGGAAGTGACCTATCACTCGCGAGCAGGATTGGGTGAGACGCTCGCTTTATGCGATATACAGATACCCTTAACGGTTATTGTGGATATTATCATTATACAGTATTTATAAAGCGCCAATAGTTCGCTCAGTGCTGTACATTACAAATGGGGACAGAACATGTGACAGAATAACAATACAATGCAAAACATGAGGGAATAGAGGGCCCTGCTCTTTTGAGCTTACAGTCTAGGAGGGAGGGGATGGTGGCACAGGAGGAGATAGCTGTGGGGAATGGGGTGGTATTTTGACATGCATTCATTTATTTCACAGTGTAATCGTTTGGGCGATGACCCGCCATCATATCAGTCTCGAATTGATAAAGGGCTTGTTGACTGATGATCTGCACTACGCGGACACTCACCACAAGCGCTATTGCTTATCAGGTTTGGATGGGCCACGATATCTGGTGAGTGCTACTGAATTGGGGGAGGTTTTCCTCTGGAGCATGTGGTGATATGAGTGCACTTTAATCAATTATTGTTATGTTGTTCATGTGGTGATTTTGGTGGATAAATAAGGACTTTGCACTTCATCACAATTTTCATTTTTCAGTTGATGGACTTATGTCAAATGATTTAAAAATTTGTGTATATTTACAGTTTTATATTTTGTGTTATAGTTTCACTCTATTTGTTCAACAACATGAACTTAACCTAAGTAATTAGGTGGCAGGGTAACCTGACTATTTCCTGTGTCCTTCAATAGACAAGGAAAAAAAATAATCAGTGACAAAATCAAGCAGAGATCTACATTTGTCAATTGGATGTAAAAGGTGTTATATAAAAAAGGTGCATACAGGTGTTGTAGATCTAAGCCTGATTTTGTCATGAACTGCAGTATATATCATTTATGTTGTTACTTTGAGAGTTCATTCTACTGTGAGCTTGTGGGACTGATCCAAGACATTTAGTCCTTGACATAGCTGCAGTACAGCTGAACTGCTTATCTGCACAAACCTAAGTACTCTAACTTTGTAACACTAAACACTGTGCTACAGATTTAACATTGAATTGTGGTGCATTATCCTTTGTTGAATTATTCTTAAACAGTAGGGTTGGAGTACAACCAATGTGCGCTCTGTAACAGGAGCTGCTCTCTAGATGTGATCTGCATGTTTGACTGTCACTTTAACAGCTGATCTTGTTCTGTGTATCCAAAGTGCTGACTGCGCTAGCCCCTGTGGGAGGCATGGAGGTCAAACTGTCTACAATCCTAGTGAGAGATTAGAATATCAGCTATCAGGGATTGCCCTTGTTAAAGTACAATAATATGCATGTACCCCATCTGCAAAGTTGCAGCAGTGACTTTGGAGTCAGGAGGAGTGATCTCCTGCAAACATTGCATAGTACTTCTCAGGTATGTAACCACTGAAGCCTACCTTTTCCTTATCACTGGCTTCTCTGCACACAGTAGAACCCTGGAACAAAATGTAAAAAGGAAAATTAGAGGGCCACAATACTTCCAGCACAGAGGAGTTAGTAATTATAATAGTGGCACTATACCTTTAAGTCATATTTGCGGTGAACCCCAAGACGGTGGCTGAACACATTCCTTGTGACAACCATGTAGGTCTCAACCCCATCAACTGTTAGCCGGTACATGCCAAGAAACTGAGGAAGCAGAGTGTTACCATGGCACTCCACTATAAACTGTTATAAAAGAAATAAGAAAAAGGTCACTATTTTATGTCCAATTTAAAAATGTCTAGCATACCAACGGATACACAACCATTCTGAAAGCCTGTTACTAAGAACCCACTTCTCACACCTTGCTGTAAGTTATCATCTAGTCCAAAACCTACTTTACCTATTAAGGCTAGGTTCACATCTGTGCAGGTGGTTCCCGCACCTGTTCCCACAGCCGCAACCACTCATATAAGAAAAATGAAGGTGGTGTGTGTGTGTGTGGGTGCCAATAATCATGCACTGTTTCTGTGCACACTGATTCCAGAATTCCAATGAATGGGCTGCTGTGCCTGTGCAAAATGTAGCTTACAGAGCTGAATCAAAACAGACCTAGCCTTAGGGGACCAAAAGCATACCCGGCTTCCCCTTTAGTTTTTTTTCTTTTAAAATATGATTAAAGAGAGCTCACACCAGATTGTTCAGGCTATTTATTAAAATAAAATATAGTGTCAAAAACTCACCAACGCCTCTATACTGCCTGCAAATGGAGGACATGATGCAGCTGGACCTCACTCACAAAAGAAATATAGCACACATTCTTCATGTGTATGAGTCATGTGTATCTTTAATATGTATTGAATGGTGATATTATAGTGTTTTAATTATACGAGCAGAGGTGTGGTTCTATAGAAAAGTTATGCAATAAACAGTATAAAGTTTTTTTTAATACTGAGAATTTGGCTGAGGTAATTTGTATCTGAAATTATGAAAAGACCTGCAATAGTGATCTATTGCTGGCTGCAGTCAGGCAGCAACATATCACTATATCAATGTTCTACTGTTGCAGGGAGAAAATGGATGGAGCTGTAGCAGCTCTGAGATCTCAATGTCAAGGGGACCACTGCATACGCTCCATTTTTTTCTCCACTTTTTTCTTCACAAATTCCAAAAAAAGAAGAGAGCGCATCAGATTATGCGGAACATAACTGATTTAATAAATAAGATAAAAACAGGATAAATTGTGTATCACAGGCTGTAGCTCCTGAAGAATCCCATTAAAACTCAGTGTCAAAGAGCTTTCCAGCTCCTCTATACTGCTTACAAAGAAGAGCAGCTGGATCTTACATTCACAAGAAAAATAGAACTTAGGATGCTTACAGCCGTGTATCTTTGCAATGTACTAAATGCCAGAGGGTCAGTTAGTTCAAAGCCGAAGTGCCATTACTATCTCATGCCACAAGAATGCTTCAAAGTGATGCACTAGCAGTGCGTAGCTAGAATGAGGTAGCCAGAATGTGGCCTTCAAAGCCGTCAAAGAGCCATCACTTGTGTATACACAAGGTTGCAACATCCTTTAGCTGGCTGCTAGAAGCCATATTTGGCAATCATCTCGAATTCAACACCACTTGGCTGCCATTAATTTTTTTTTTTTTTTTTTTTTTTTTTTAAATAGGACCAGCTGTGGGATTATAGCGGTCAAATCTCCCCATGGTTTGTGCAAAGAGGACACAGACACAGCCCGCTGTTCTGTATGCAGTGGTCGGATGTAAACAGACTGCCTGTCCATTTACATCTGTCATCCGATTGCCGGATGGGGGATGAATTTCCCATCCATCTATTTTTGGCGGATTGGATGCAGGCGGATGTAAACAGACATGTTGTTTACATCCACCTCCCCATAGAGAACAATGCGTGTCCTGCCTGTCCATTTTATAGGCGATCCAATCGGCTCGGACGTGTGAAAGGGCCCCTAAGCTAGCCTAAAAAAGGATTGCTTGTTTCAGGTACAAAGCTTCATTTTAACCTCTTCACGCCGGCAGCACACAAATGTGCGGCCTCCCGGCGTCTGGGCCTAGACGGCGAGCGGTCGCACATTTAACAAATAACATTTAACAAACAAAAAACATATGTGCTGAGAGCGTGCACATGTTCGGTACTCACGGAAAGGTCCCGGTGTGATCTTTCGATCGGGACCTTTCCCGATCATGTGACCGCCGTGATGACCCGTCACGGCAGTCACATGATCCCTAACCCCGCCCCCCAGCTTCTGAAACTCTTAAAAGGCCGGGAGGCCCTGGCAGAAAGGGGTTAAGAAAATTTAACAAAAGCATCTACCTGGTGGTATTTCTTCAGAATATTGTGCATCTCAGCAACATCTTCACCAGATATCGTCTTTATAATAAACCTCCGGTCAAATGTAGTAAGAAATCGAGATCCAAACCGTCCCTGGTTTTCACTGTTTACAGGAGCACTGCGGGTCAAAGAGTTCTGAGAACGCAATAACCAGAAATAACGCATTAAGGGAATGCATACTTCAAAATACAGGTGAAACTCGAAAAATTAGAATATCGTGCAAAAGTTCATTTATTTCAGTAATGCAACTTAAAAGGTAAAACTAATATATGCAATAGACTCATTACATGCAAAGCAAGATAGTTCAAGCCGTGATTTGTCATAATTGTGATGATTATGGCTTACAGCTCATGAAAACCCCAAATCCACAATCTCAGATAATTAGAATATTACATGCAATGAATAAAACAAGGATTGTACATAGAACAATATCGGACCTCTGAAAAGGTTTGGGCCCCTTTTGCAGCAATTACTGCCTCAATGCGGCGTGGCATGGAAGCTATTAGCCTGTGGCACTGCCGAGGTGTTATGGAAGACTAGGATGCTTCAATAGCAGCCTTCAGCTCTTCTGCATTGTTCGGTCTCATCTTTCTCTTGGCAATGTCCCATAGAGAAGGTCAGGCGAGTTTGCTGGCCAATCAAGCACAGTAATCCCACGGTCATTGAACCAGGTGTTGGTACTTTTGGCAGTGTGGGCAGGTGCCAAGTCCTGCTGGAAAATGAAGTCAGCATTCCCATAAAGCTCGTCTGCGGAAGGAAGCATGAAGTGCTCCAAAATCTCCTGGTAGACGGCTGCGTTGACCCTGGACTTAATGAAGCACAGTGGACCAACACCAGCAGCTGACATGGCTCCCCAAATCAACACAGACTGTGGAAACTTCACACTGGACTTCAAGCATCTTGCAGCGTGTGCCTCTCCATTCTTCCTCCATACTCTGGGTCCTTGGTTTCCAAATGAGATGCAAAAGTTGCACTCATCAGAAAAGAGGACTTTGGACCACTGAGCAACAGACCAGATCTGTATTTTTTTTTTTTTAGCCCAGGTAAGACGCTTCTGACTTTGTTGTTCAGGAGCGGCTTGACAAGAGGAATACGACATTTGTAGCCCATGTCCAGGATCTGTCTGTGTGGTTGCGGCTTTTGATGCACTGACTCCAGCCTCAGTCCACTCCTTGTGAAAGTCCCCAACACTTTTGAAAAGCCTTTTCCCAACAATCCTCTCCAGGCTGCGGTCATCCCTGCTGCTTGGGTGCCTTTTTCTTCCACACTTTTCCCTTCCACATAACTTTCTATTAATGTGCTTTGATACAGCACTTTAGGAACATCAAACTTCTTTTGCAATTACCTTTTGAGGCTTTCCCTCCTTATAATGTCAATGATGGTTTTCTGCACAATTGTCAGATCAGCAGTCTCTCCCATGATTGTGATTCCTACTAAACCAGACTGAGAGACCATTTAAAGGCTCAGGAACCCTTTGCAGGTGCTATGGCTTAATTAGCTGATTAGAGTGGGACACTTTGAGCCTAGAATATTGCACCTTTTCACAATATTCTAATTTTCTGAGATTGTGGATTTGGGGTTTTCTTGAGCTGTAAGCCATAATTATCACAATTATGACAAATCACGGCTTGAACTATCTTGCTTTGCATGTAATGAGTCTATCTCATATATTAGTTTCACCTTTTAAGTTGCATTACTGAAATAAATGACCTTTTGCACGATATTCTAATTTTTCGAGTTTCACCTGAAGTTTCCAAAAGCAAACAATCATTAATATTCCTACCCATGTACCTGATAATCCTGATCATCGATCCCAAACCTCTCTCTTAAATTTCTGAACACCATGGGACAATATTCCTTAAACTTGAAACGACTTGGGAGATTCTCCCTGAGGGAATTAAAAACAAAAAATAAAACTTTCCCTTCAAGATTTTCATCATAATAAAAACATACATTAATTTCAAGTCAAGTGGACTTCTCATGTGACACACAATATATGCTGGATTTAGTTTAAAAAAAAAAAAAAAAAAAAAAAAAAAAAACGCATTCCAAAAAAAAAAAACCCCACCGTTTTTATTTTAAATGCCTTCCCACATAAAGTATATGCCAGTACTGCACAACAGTCATCTGGTAGAAAAATAAAAAGGTGATCCAATTAACTTCATTATGTTGCTTTTCAACATTTGGCTTCATAAACCAGAAGCTGGATAAACAGGTCACATTTATAGCTGAACTCCAAGCAAACAGCTAAATACATAGTTGGGAACTGTGTTGCACAATTTCTATTTCCATCTACCTGGTCCTGAAATTTACACAGCTCTGCCACACAGCACACAGTCAGTCAAACTAGTAACCTGACTTCTTATACTTTTTCCAGAGGTCTCCTTCACATGATGGGCAGGGGCCTTGTCTACACCATTGCGCGGTTCTTAATGATGCTGAAAGCAATGCTAATTTGATAACGGCAGTGCAGGGTACCATATAGATGCTCATATTCAACCCAAAGACTGAGGGCATCTAGAAGTGGAAAAGAATAACCATACGGTACCACGTCAAAAAGGTGGTGGGTATTGCATTAAGAAATGCCCTATTTTTAAGAACGGAGTGACTTTACCACTTCTGCTTCAGAAAGTTTTACCCCCTTCCTGACCAGGGTGTTTTTTGCTAATGGACACAGCGCTATTTTAACTTGTAACCGTGCAGTCATGCAATGCTGTACCCAAACAAAATGTATATGCTTTTAACCACTGGGGTTTTTTTCATGATATAAAAGTAAACACCAAACATTTTGAAAAAAAAAAGATATTTCCTACTTTTGGTTATAAAAAAAAATCCAATTAAAATTTCTTCATAAATTTAGGGTAAAATGTATTTTTTTACATGTCTTTGGCAAAAAAAAATCCCAATAAGTGTATATTAGTTTGTATGAAAGGTATAGTATCTACAATCTATGGTAAAGATATTGGAGAATTTACGCAGCTTTTACTTTCTGACTGCCTATCACATTTCTTGGCGCTAAAATGCCAGGGCAGTAAAAAAAAAAAAAAAAAAACCCCAAATGACCCCTTTTTGGAAAATAGACACTCCAAGGAATTTGCTGAAAGGCACAAGGAGCCCATGGAAGATTTTATTTACACAAAGTTGACACTTAAATGATATATTGCTCACACATGCCATGGCTATATGTGGAATTATGCCCCAAAATACATTCTGCTGCGTCTCCTAAGTATGGAGATACCACATGTGAGAGACATTTTAACAGCCTAGCCACGTACGGGCCCCCAATATTTAATGACCACCTTCAGGCTTTCAAAAGGGTATATTTCCTTATGTTACTTCTTCATTACCTATCACGGTTCCGGAGGCCCTGAAATGCCAGGATAGTCCAAACACCTGCAAATTACCTTTTTCTGGAAAGCAGACACCCCAAGGAATTTGACAGGAGGCATGGTGAGTATTTTGCTCATATTTTTTTTTGTCACAAGGTTTTGAAAAAAAAAAAAAAAAAAAAAGTAAAGAAAAAATTAATTTTTTAATATATTTATAAACAATATAGGGTCTCGGATTACAAATACAATTTCAGTCTTTGCAGATGACACCAAGCTGTGCAGTGGAATGACGTCCTTACAGGATGTCTTCAACTTACAATCCGACCTCAATGTACTGTGTAATTGGTCAACTATGAGGCCAATGAGGTTTAATGCTGATAAATGTAAGGTTATGCACTTGGGGGCTAAGAATATGCATGCATCATACATACTAGGAGGGGGTGTACAACTGGGGGAATCAATGGTGGAGAAGGATCTAGGAGTTCTAGAGTAGCTAGGGTAGGTCATCACAGAGGACAAGGGGCACTCTATGTCTGGAGGAAAAGAAATTTAATCTCCAAACACAGAAAGGTTTCTTCACAGTGAGAGCTGTGAAAATGTGGAATAGACTCCCTCAAGAGTTGGTTCTTGCCAGCTCAGTGGATTGACAAAAAAAAAAAAAAAAAAAAAAAAAAAGGTCTGGATTGTTTCGTAGATACACAGAATATAACTGGATACTAACATTTATAGGTAAAGTTGATCCAGGGAATATCCGATTGCCTCTCGGGGGATCAGGAAGCAATTTTTTTCCCAGCAGGAGCAAATTGGATCATGCTTTGCTGAGTTTTTTTGCCTTCCTCTGGATAAACTGTGGGTATAGGATTATAACTTTTTTCTATGACTGAACTGACTTGTCTTTTTTCAGCCAATTTAACTATGTAACATTTGTGTTTTCTTTCTCCATTTTCCAAAAACGTGTGGCAAATGAGATCTGCAAAATACTCACCATACCACTCAGCAAATAGCTTGGGGTGTCTACTTTCCAAAAAAATGGGTCATTTGGGGGGTGCTTGACTGTCTTGAAATTTTATGCCCAACATGAACATTTTATGTCACCCACTCTTTTAACCACCTAAGACCAAGCCTTTTCGACACTTTTTGTTTACATTTAAGAAAAAAAAAAAAAGAAAAAGAAAAAAAGAAGAGAACCGGTATTTTTTTGCTAGAAAATTGAACTAGCAAACATATATTTTTTAAAGCAGAGGTGACAGAGAATAAAATGGTGGGTATTGCAATTTTTTCACACAGCAATTTTTTCAACAATTTTTTTTGCAAAAAATATACTTTATTAATTTTACTGCACAGAAACACAATATATTGGCCAATTGTTTGGTAAAATAAAAAAGATTAAGTTACACCAAGTAAACAGATACCAAACATGACATGCTATAAAACTGGTGACAAACTACAAAACTTTTTAATATCCATAGGCAACGCTTTAAATGCCTTTACAGGTTACCACTTTAGATTTACAGAGGTCTAGTGCTAGAATTACTGCCGTTAATCTGATGTTTGTGGTGATACCTTACATGCATGGTGCAGTCACGGTTTACATACCACCACGAGATGGATGCACACGCTCGCCTTTGCATGATCCCGGGGGGTATCATGGGGGCCAGGGGTGCTTTAACTGCTTACCTGCTGCCGCATAGCAGATATACTGATATCACGCATGCCTGGTGATTACCGACAATCACCGACGGGGAGGAAGACTGTTTTGTTGTGTTTTTGTCTCCCGGTCAGCTTGGGCACACTTCTCGGGATGGCTGTGCATAGCACAGCAATCTCAATCAGTGTGCTTACAGTGAAACACCCCCCCCACACCCGCCCCCTAGTAACACACTCCCTACACACAGTTAACCCTTTGATTGCCCCTCACATTAGCCCCTTCCTGCCCAGTGTCATTTGTACAGTGCTGTTTTTTTAGCGCTGATCACTGTATTGGTGTCACTGGGGATGTCAGTGACACCAAGTTAGTCTCCCCCCCCCCCCCCCCCCCCCCAGTGTCAGAATGCCTGCCGCAGTCCTGCTAAAAGTCGCTGATCGCCGCCATTACTAGAAAGAAAAAGAAAATTCCCAGTATCTATACCGCCATTTGTAAACGCTATAACTTTCACGTAAACCAATTAATTTACACGTATTGGTAATTTTTTTACATTTACATTTTGGCCTAAATTTATGACGAAAGTTGATTTAACCACTTCCCGTCCAGGCCCCATGTATACATAAATGGCCGGACGGGAGCAGTGCCCCAGGACGGGTGACACAGACACAGCAGCCGATCGCATTAGTACAGGGACCTCTGTGCTTTTCCCGATAAGCCCATAAATAAGAAAATTTTGCGGTTCTATTGGTATCATTGGAGGTGTGTCTCGGTGTCCCGGGCTTCAGCTCCACACTCTCTCGGCAGCTCTCATCCTCCTGTTAGCGGGAAGCGGTGTATTTCCCGTGGTTTTACTCGGCTGTCAGTTGTCCATGGAGAGATCTTACCTTCTGCACCGTCTCCTGATTTTATCCATGGAATCCCGGAGATATGCCGGCCCAGGCCACCTCTCTCGCCCTGCCTGCTGATGTCAGGAAGAGATCTTTTTTTGGCTCACTATCATGTGAGTGAGAATTTGCAGAGGATCGTTGTAGAGGACCCTATAAGTTATAAAGATGAGGTGTGGAGGAGGCCAAATAGGAGGACAGCCTGTGTTACCAACCAGGATTGTTGAGAATCCAGGGTGATCCTAAAGGCTTGTAGGCCCTTAGGGGGGGTCGCTGAAAGGAGGTGAGGAGGCACTGCAGCTGGAGTGGAAGAGTGTGTTTACACGAGTGGCACTAATGACACACTGCATGTGTATATAAGCATCACCTGAATTATATTGCTTAATATTTTTTATTATTTGAACATTGGACTATGGATTAGTTTAAATTGAAGTGGCACGATCACATGGTACATGTTTTTGAAGTGGCACTATCACAAAATATATGTTTAGTAGTAAAATATGAAATAGCACTACCACGATATATGTTTTTATAAATATGGTTTATGAATTAAGTGGCACGTGTGTAAGGCACTAAGAGGATTAGGGCACTGTGAGATCTATCACAAGGTCTATATATTTTAGTTTCACTATTCACATAAAGATTGATTCGAATATGCTTTTTATGATTTAGTTTACTAGCGCTACACTAGTTTAATATTCATTTGTGCACTGTTTTGGTATCAGTCTGAGTGTGCAGCTGAAAGGTAGGGGGGTTCTGTCCATAGAAGCGCAGCAGATGTCAGTAACAAGTATAAAAAAAAATAATGGCTTGGTCAGGAATGGGGGGGGAATCCTCTGGAGGGCAAGTGGCATTTAGCTTTTTTTATTTTTTACACTGTCCCTTTACATTTTGTATTACTTTTAGTTATCACGGGAAAAAATATCCACTGTGATAGCAATAGGCTTAACAGTCTATTACATCCCTGGGGTCTATTACATCTCCTCCTCTGCCCTTAAAGCATCTGATCACACCAAGATCTGTGTGGTCA